ATATATATATAGACATAATGACAAAAAAACAACAAACACAAACACATATAGACAAACATAACATGCATTTACACAAACACTCAAAAAAGCTTCAGAAATGAATCACAGCTATAATTTATCACACATGCTGGATCATATGACTCACGTGCAGAGAATCGATTGGTCCTCACGGTCTGTGGACGGAGACAAAAATGAATATTAATAATTTTGCAAAACACTCCAAAAACACTGCGCTGGCTGATCAGGAGAAAAACAGTGGACATTTAAATTAGTTTAGTTTTACTATTCATTCATTCATTTAACTCCAGCTTAGTCACTTATTTATTAGGGGTCGCCACAGTGGAATGAACTGCCAACTATTCCAGATTATGTTTTACACAGCGGATGCCCCTCCAGCTGCAACCCACTAGTGGTAAACACCCATACACACTCAATTCACACACATACACTACAGCCAATTTAGTTAATCAATTCCCCTATATGTGTTATAAACACCAACTGACCCAGCCGAGGCTCGAACCTGCGACCCAGTGACCTTCTTGCTGTGAGGCCACATTGCCAACCACTGAGCCACCCCTAGTATTAATGATCTTATTTATTTACTATAAATAAGCTACATGAAAAAAACATTCTTGTTTTTAACCCGAAGAATGCATTTGATTTATTTGAACAGTTCATTTGGCAGGAAATGAAACCTTTATAATGTTAAGTTCTTGGTTTATTTAACTAGCCCAATGAACAAACAATTAAATTAGAGGCAAGTAAGGCTTACAATAAACTCAAGAACAGAAAAATACACCAGTTTTTGTACAAGAATGTGCTTTTCCATCACTTTCTGTGCTGTTTTTAACATCCTCCAGCAGAAAGAAGACTGAGTTTAACTCTGAACACACTCTCTACAGCAGGAAGGGCTCAAACCACAAAACAGGAAGTCGATATCTGACTTCCTGTGACTGGGAAACGCCTTTCCAGAAAACCGCTTGCTCAACCATGAGGAACCCGTGGGGAACTTGCAGTGAGCAGACATTCACTATTATAATGTAACTACATGATTAAAATAATAGTAGAATCTATAATCGTGATCAGGATTTCAGACAGTCCTTTATTGTCATGACCCGGCTCAAAGGCAATGACAAATTAAAGGGAGGACATACACAGGACGGTTTGGTACCGAAAAGTATTTATTTAAACATTAAAGAATAAGGGTGTCACGATCCTCCAAATCTCTCGATTCGATTACATTTTCGATTCTAAAGTCACGATTCGATTTTCGATTATGAATAATTAATTAATTAATAACCAATTAATTATTGGTAGCCTACCGTTTAAACTACCTGACCTGCATGGTCTTTGTTTTACCCATAAACAAATCATACAGTAAATGAATAAAGGCAAGATACACACATAATTACCACCTGTCAATCACTTTTTCTGCGGGACTCGTGAATAGGCAGTGATCTGTGTCGTTATAATGGCGTCGGTAAAAAAAGACGCACAACCAACAGGAACCAGCCAACAGTATCTGAGGTGTTCGCTAAAATGACTAAGTACAAGTGAGTGAAAGATTGAAGCAGTCCTCTGACTGCCTGGACCTGCTGTGTGTGTGTGCGTCTGTGTCTGTGTGAATGAGTGTGTGTGGTCACGTGATGTGCGTTTTCAGCGGTAGTGAGGAAGGAGGGCTGCTCAGAAATGCTACAAGCCAGTGTGGATGTGGATCGTTGTCGTTCTAAAATGCCATTTAAAAACAAAGACATATTAGTGTAAACAGGGCCTGAGTGTGTATTTTTCGCGAGCGCATTTGCAACGGGTGCGGGGAGGAGGATCACGATGCGCCCATCGTCTATCAACCCAACCGTAATACGTACATAGCAGTGCTTGCAAACTGTTTTTTTTTTTGTCGACAACACGAACGTTGTCAACATAACTCACTGGAAATCCAAAATACTTCCACACCGGCGACTTCATTAAAAGAGCAGAGGGTTTAAGTTCTGTCGACGGGTCTCCTGCGTCTGCACAGTTTAACAAGCACTTCAACAAGCCTGTTTTTTCCTGCTTGACAAGCCAAGCTGACGTGACATGGGGGCGTGGCAGCATCGACGATTCTATTTTTTGATTCGATAATCGAAGTTGAGCATAAATTTCTATTAAAAATCGAAATCGTGACACCCCTACTAAAGAATAATCAAGTGCTCACTTTAGGTCAGCAAAATCGAATATTAACCAAAGGTAAAAAAGAAACAAAACAAACAGGAGCAACAGCACGGCTCCTCACAAGCCAACACTGCTGGCTTTTATAGAGGGGAACTCAGGTGTTCCCAATTGAGCAGACGAGTCTCTGTCCTTCCCGCTTCCCGCTTCGGCCGATCAGTGGGTTAGTAAAAGAGACTCGTCACAGTTATGAAGATCCTCTCATTTGAATATCTCTATTTTATGAACGTATTTCACTCTGGATGTTGGATTCTGCTTCAATTCTGCTTCAATCAACAAACTAAGCTGTAATTATATATACATATGTAAATAGGGAATGAGGGCGGCATGGTGGCTCAGTGAATAGAACTGTGGCCTCACAGCAAGAAGGTCGCTGTTTCTAGTCTCGGCTGGGTCAGTTATCATGTCTGTGTGGAGTTTGCATGTTCTCCCAGTGTTGGCGTGGGTTTCCTCAGGGTGCCAAACACATGCGCTAGAGGGGAATTGATGAACTAAATTGACCGTAGTGTGTGAATGTGAGTGTGTGTGGGTGTTTCCCAAAACTGCGTTGCAGCTGGAAGGGCATCCGCTGTGTAATACATTTGGTCGAATAGTTGGCGGTTCATTCCGCTGTGGTGACCTCTGATAAATAAGGGACTAAGCCGAAGAAAAATGAATAAATATAAGGAATAAATGTTTTCTTTCTTGCACATTTATCACATATTTTTGATTAAGTAAATATGTAAATAAACATCAGTGAGATGAAATGCATGTAGTTTTATTGGATTTGTTTTGATATGTGTGTGTGAACGCATGAAATGTTCAATTAATGTCATGATCGGTTTTGTCTGCACTCCTGAAATGACTGTAAAAGCTGTTGATTTTTTTTTTGTTTAGGCTTCCTGTCATTCAAACTCCATTTCCTTTGGGAAGTGTTTGTGTTTGTGTGTATATTGGTACAGGTTTAAGTGGTTTACAGGGACACAAAGTTGTAGAGTAGCGTGGGTATGTGACTAAAGGCCTGTGCACAGTGGAAGTTTTACTTGTGCATTTCCCTGACTTTAACACCTCATGAGGAGGGCCAGACAGAATCTGCAGACATTTTTTTGTCATTTCTGCAAAGAATTTTATTGGAATTTTATGTGGAATTACTTGGGGAGTATCATTACTAATAACTTCATATAGGAAATAAAAAGTAATACCTTTTTAACTACTATTTAATGTTTACAATGCAAATCCAATTAGATTAACTTATTTGGCAAACAAAGCAAGTCACTCATACAATATCTCTACTTAAAGACTTTACCAACTGTATTGTAAACAAATCATATGAATATAGGGCTGGACGATTTAGCAAAAAAAAAAAAAAAAAAAAAAAAAAAAATTCTAGGTTATTTATAAAGTTTGACCGATTCACGATTTCCATTTTTTTTATTGTGTTACTAGTCTTCTCAAAACATTACAACAACATGACTGAAGTAACATTCTTATAATATAATTAACTTTATAACTATATAATATAATTAACACGCTTTAACAGGCAGTCAAGCAGGTCACACACCAGAAGCGCCGCGACACGGCGCGCACATGACAGTTTAAACTCACACACCAAACGCGCACATTCGCATGATATTTACCATGAAACTAATCAGATGGCGCTCTGTGGCGCAGCTGAAATGAGAACTGCTTCGTGAATCGTGGCTAGGCAGCGCCGGTGTGTGTATAGAAATCTGTTTAGAATTCTAAAATCCATGGCGCTGCGTGGTGCTGTGCGGCGCGTCGCCGAGAGGCTCTTCTGGTGTGCTTCCTGCTTAATACAGAGTGAACCAAACCGCATTGGTGCCATTATAATGTATTAAATATATATGTATATTTTTTTAAAAATCACAATTTCTTGATTTGATTCAAAATTAAATCGTCTTAAAACGTAAAAAGTAATCGAAAAAAATCTGAAAAATCACCCAGCCCTATATGAATACTTTTATATTTGTTAATAATATTACCGAAACTAATTTAAAAACTGAATAAATATAGATATTTAGCCTAACTGAAGCATGATTCTCTTATTTAGATTTCATTAGGACTTTCTGTTATGAAATAAACCTGCGTTTTTCACCAGATCTTCTCATTTAAGTCCTTGGTTCACCAGTGCTGCAGTTGTTTAAGTTACACACATTTACATAAGTAAATATACAGACTCAACGATGGGCTAAAAACCTGGGGATATCTGCAGAATTCTGCACATGCAGATTCTGTGAGGGCCTAGTCATTACTAAACAAAAGGCACTGATATAATTGAGCACAGTAACGTTGTCAAAAGTATCAACTTTAAAACCAATAGCTATTGAAATGTAAAAAAATGATAACTTCCTGTTAACATTTAAGTGCTTACGTACTTGAGTGCTTTATAGGGTATGTGCGGAGCTACGCTTTCTTCCCATACTGATAAACTCCCGGTGAACAGTTAATGTGACTTTTATTTCCATTTTATCCGGTTCCTTTTACAGCATCGATGTTATAATGTCATTCAAATGCAATCAGCTAAATGCACTTTGGCACAAGGTTATAATAGTTTTGGATTTTTCATTAGTTTTAGGCTGCTTTCACACCTGTGAATCGATTCAGTTGTTCCGAAACAGAGATTACAATTGTTACATTGTTGCTCTTTGCTCTTGGAGCGGTTCGCTTTCACACTGCAAAGTTTCTAATCGGAACAAAGAGCTAAAACAAGTCACGTGTGAGTAAACTCTCCTCACATTGGTCAGAGTGTCAGGGTTTATTTTGCAGCGTCCCGCTCAGCTGTCAGGAGAGAGGTGGTGGTTTGGTGGTGATTGACAGGGTGCGAGCGCGCGACGTGTCTGAGGATAGACGCGGTGGGGAGGGGTGAGAAGAGTGCGTGACGATGCCTATTTGAGGACCAGGAGGGAGACGCGAGATTACCGGGAGATCATCACTCGTTTGCGGGCATCCGGAGACTCATGAAACTTCCCGCCTTACTCATAATTCTCTCTTCATATAGCCGTAAGCCTATTACATATCCATAAAACACTGTGATATAACCGCGCTCGGATCGGATCGCTTTCTCACTGCAATCGAACCGCTCCAGGGTTCGTTTCAATTGAGCCGAGACCACCTCATTCAAGCGATCTCGGAGCGATTACTTTAGCGCGGAACAGAGCGCGATTGCCCTGTTCACATATGCCAAACGAACCGCGCTAACTGGGCAAACAAGATACGTTTCGAAACAAAAGTGTAGGTGTGAAAGCACCCTTAGTCTCTACTTCGTTTTGACTTTTTTTTAAATTCAGTTAGATTTAATTAGTTTTAGAGGCAGATTTACTAGTGTTTATTAATTTCTATATTTTGAAATCATTTAGTGTTAGTTTAGTTTTTATTAGTTTCAATGTTAGTTTTCTAACATTAAAACTAATTGAAAATGTCTCACAGTAAAGTTCTGCAGCCTAACTGAAGCATGATTCTCTTATTTAGATTCCATTAGGACTTTCTGTTATGAAATAAACTTGCGTTTTTCACCAGATCTTCAGTTCACCAGCGCACAAGTTTAGTTCACTCACAGCAGGCTGTGCTGTTTGTGTTTGGTTCACTAAATCACGAATGTGCATTATTATCGGTTCACTGCTTCTCAACTTTGATCTCAGTGTAACATCACTGTTCTAATAACTAAATGAGAGTATATATTGCATTATTTAGAGTCAGAGGCGGTATTAGGCTTGTTATAAAGTAAGTAGTTGGTGGATAAGTGCTTACTGGAGACACGAATCGTTTCAAATGATTCAGTTTGATTTGGTGAACTTGTTCAACCGGTTCACTTAGAAGATCCGGTTAAAAAGATTCGTTCGCGATCGTGACACAGAAATAAAACCCATTAATGAGCACAAACGTGTTAAAGTAATAGTTTAAAGTGTCGTTATTTAATGCCGTCACCGTGCTGCTGTCATGTCCACTCGTTGTTTTTGTCGCGGGAGCAACAGCGAGGACTGACTGGAGGAGAGCCGGCTCGATCCGGAAAAGGGCAGCAGGACTACAGACTCCGAGCTGCTGTACAGTCAAAAACCTGCAGCGCGGAGTAAATAGATTTGCAGTAAGATTATGTATTAAATACATTTACAAAGACGAAAATGAAGGAGGTTTTTGCTATAATTTTAGTTTCAGTTAGTTTTGTATGAACACTATAGAGTTTCAGTTAGTTATAGTTTTTTTTTTAAACTCTCGTTTTTATTTTTATTTTAGTTAACGACAATTATTAGTTTTCATTTCGTCGTTTGTTTTCATTAACTATTATAACCTTGATTTGGCATTCATTTAGTTGCTCAAGCATAAAATGAGACATACAGTTCACCGGAAGTGCTTAACCCAGGTTACTGACAAATTAAAAGTCATTTAGCATAGTTCAGCGTACACCCTGATTGGCCGGTATGTTCACCTGCTCAACAGAAATGACTGTGATTGGATGTGAAGTTGATCGCTGTTCGTAAATACAGAAACACTAGGTTGTTTCAAAGATGTCAAGATCAGCTGCTCTGTCCATGATCTGACATACGAGCGGTCCATTGATGATTCAACTTATCTATATGGCTTTAAAAAACTTCAGTGTCAGTGTATCTGTGTTTACACTTGGTGAAGAGCGGTGAACGGTCAATCACAGTCATTTCTGTTGAGCACTGGTGAACAACAGCTGCATTTAATTTCAACAGCGCTCAAATGTTAGCGGGAAATGGACATTTTTTAAATGACAGTATTGATAGGTACCAAATACGATACTTTCAACAACACTAATGCACACCAATGTGCAAACCAGAAGGCGTAAAAGCGTCATTATTAAAAAATACCTCTGACTCTTTTTTTTTTTTTGGCTTGACGTAACTGCTTCACCAATGAGATTGGGACTTTAGTTCACTTGTCTGGAGACACTGATGTTACAGTAAACACCACTTGGAGGCGCTCAAGCTCAAAAAACGCTCACAGTTTCATTAAAGGCAGAGTTTTCCCTTCGTTTATAAATAAATTTGTCCACATGAAAATGTAAAAACGCACTGTGATGCATGTCATTTGCTGCAAACATTTGCGTCTTCCGCATTTGGTGTGAACTAGTCGCATTAGCCAATCAGGACAGAGAAAACAGAGCTGACGTCATCAGGCAAAAATTCTGATTGTAGTGTCCACATGACCACCCTGTACATGGAGTTCCCTGTGTGGACAAACAGCCAAACCGTGTAGAAGAAGCGTGTGGTCAACACAAGTATTACAAAATATATTTGGTGATGGAAAGGATTGATTTTTTTAGTTGGGCAATTTAGCAACCAAAGTGACTATGAAAAACAAGCACCTATTAAAGATGCGTCTAGCAACCGTCAAGAAGGCTGTAACATGAAAGTGCCTACAATCTGAACCTCCACCAGAGTGGGAGTGGAATATGTGTGGAGCTGGATATTGCTACCAAAGATCAAAACATGGAGGAGATGACCTTCACTAAAACTACCAATGGACAAATACTTTCAATACTGTGAGAAACAGATTGTGTTTTATGTGTGTGTGTGTGTGTACCCTGCATCATGCTCCTGTAGGCCGTGTCTGTGATGGCGTAGATGTGCGGTGGCATCTCGTGGCGTTTCTTGCCCTTGTACATGTCCACGATCTCCTCTGAGTAGATGGGCAGGTTCTTGTAGGGGTTGATGACCACGCAGAACAGACCCGAGTACGTCTGAGAGAAACACAAACACACACACAAATAAATAATTCAGTCACAATCACAGTGAAACACACACCATCATCAATATGTGCACTACAATTTATACGCTGGGATCATGAGCCTGCTCAATGCATTCATTCATTTTCCTTTAGCTTAGTCACTTTATTTATAAGTGGTCACCACAGCGGAATGAACCGCCAACTATTACACAGTGGATGCCCTTTCAGCTGCAACCCAGAACTGGGAAACACCCATACACTACGGCCAATTTAGTTAATCAGTTCCCCTATAGTGCATGTGTTTGGACTGTGGGTGAAACCAGAGCACCCGGAGGAAACCCAAGCGAATGCAGGGAGAACATGCAAACTCCACAAAGAAACGCCAACTGACCCAGCCGAGGCTTGAACCAGCGACCTTCTTGCTGTAGAAACAACAAGTTTGGAAACAGGTTTGGTTTGGCACAACACTTAAACTTGCCATTATCAATCAACCGAGACAAAAAGGAAAGCAAATGATGAAGTGAAACTCTCTATTATTAAAACATCCCTCTCCTGATTGGTTCATCTAGTCAGTGTAAACAGGCAAAGCGGTCTATATAGACTATGTTCAAATAAATGTTTCTGAGCTCTATATTATGACTAGCATCATTACTCAGTGCTCCTCAGGTCATCCTCATTATTCCATTCGATTCAATTTGAAATGATTCAGAATCAAATAAGAGATTCGGTTCAAATGAATCCATCTGATCTGTAACGGTTAACCAGATCAACTAATCCCGACTAATCTTAACCATATCAGACGAGCACAAGAAGTTTGCTACTCCTCAAGTCTGTCTCGAAAACTCAAACCCTCCTCCTACGCCTCAGATCGCATCACTTCCTGTCCCTTGGGAGCACATTGTTCAGACAGCTTCCTGTTTAGAAGAACAGCACTGAAGTATTTGAGCGAGACCCTCTTATCTGCAGTCAAGGCTGTTCACATTCCTCAAAAACAACCCTCTACACAGCCCACAAGCTGCAGATTACAGCTCATGCTGCTCTTATTAACCCTGTAAAGCTGCTCTCGTTTGATATGCAAATTTATAAGGCATGCAAATGACCAACAGCACTGTGTAAACACACACAAACACACTGGTCTGTTTTACTATCTTAGTAAGGACTTCCATTGTTTTTATATTAGATTACTGATAGTGTCTATGGCCTACCCCTAGCCCTAACCCGAACCCAAACCGCACATCATTAGACACTAATAAAAAACATCTTTGGTTGATTTATAAACACTTTAATTTAGTGAACACCAGTTAAATGACCACTAGTGGGTTGTTTTGATGTCTCACTATAGATCATTTCAATGTGGTCATATCATTGGTCCTTGAACATTGCCTGCTTGCTATAAAACTAATCCATAACTGTAACAAGAGGCAATTCAATCATAACATTATCAATAAGTGGCTCGTTTTGGATTCTGGGAAGCTGTAGAAACTAAAAATGTAAAACAGGAGATACGTTGGGACCATTGTTTTTGTTTACATCCCTCAAAATGGTCTATATAGGTAATGCATGCACATTTCTTGATGTGAATTTTTAATGCAATATTGCTAAATGTGCATACAAATAGGCTAATGGAAACACAGCTATTGAGAAAGTTATAATTATATGTTAAAGCTAATAAAAAACAACTGAATTTTATACGTATTCGACTATTTATTAAAACAATTAAATTTTTTTAATCGTGTTTTTAGGATTAGCTAAGAAATTAACAATCGGCTAAGATTAATAAATGCTTTTGTAGTTGTTATTACGTTAATTTAAAGGGTCACGAAACACCAAAACACATTTTTTGAGCTGTTGACAGTGGTATATGTGTCCCACACTGCTAAAAACACTATTAGGACACCTATATTTTACTAAAAAGTGAAAATTGGTTGTTTTTGCGTTATTTCAAGCAAATTTGTACTTCCGGTTTGAAACGACTTTTTGAAGCTGCGTCACGGTCATGACATAATAGTGTTGTATTCCAGCGTGCAGACTGGACGTCTGTGCCAGAGTGAGTCTTATTACATCTTACAGTGTGATGCATTAATGCATGAGTAAGACTTGGTTCAAACCAATCAGCGCGCTCTATTGTGCAACTTCATTAATATTCATTACTGTCACAGTGTTTAGACGACAGAGACGCCACGTTGTGTTGGCAAAACAAGCGTGAAGTGTTGCTTTTATAGTTTGCTGCCGTTAAGTTTTGTTTTCATTTTCTCTCTGTGAGAGCTCATCTGGATCACGTGTGGATTAACAGTGTACGCGACGCTTGACAACAATAACTTACGTGTCTAAGGAGGATTATTGTTTACCTGAGAGCTGTTCTCATCTGCAAACGCTGAGATCTGGATTCGCTTGTAGTATTCTCTCCATAAAGACGCGGCTCTAGTTGCTGGTGATTGTCCTGTCTCTACAGATTTGGTAAGTGGGTGACCAGTGCTCTTTGTTTATTCAGTTTGTTCGTATCGAACTAAGTTAACTATTGCACCGAGTGCAAACATGTTAACACCACAACCAAACTTTAACCTCGTGTAGGATTTTCACCGCATTTAGTGACCGGAATAACACACGCGGCTTTCTGACGCTACCTGCCGTGTGCATCTAAGTTTCCAGGAAATGCGGAGGGTTTTTTTCTCTCATTCGCCGTGCGGTATCAAACATTGCATGAAAAATACACGCTTAGAGCAGTTCCTCAAATCAAATATCACGTTTGTCGGGAGGGGCATGAATGAATTCCCTGAATGAAAGAGCCAAACTGCAGTTAAAGTCCACCATTTAATAATTTGGCAAATAATTCGACTACAGATGTCCATGTAAACACAGTCACTTTCTCCCGTGTTTGTGTGTGGTTGTGTGTTTTGACTCTGAAACTCGCGTGTGCCCAAATAGACACTCCCACACCATCCCACTTTAGTTCCTCCGACACTCCCCCTAAACAAAGCTGGACACGCCCACTTTTCTGACTTTTTCCAAAGTAGAGGTGTGAAAACACCCTGCTGAAACAAGGGGGTTTCATGGCCCTTTAAGTTAAATAACTGATGATAACTAGTAAACCTTACTGTACAGAGTTAATGTAATGTAAAATACAAACATTTTGAAAATGCGATTATATTACTTCTACAGTGAGATATCAAAAGAACTCACTAGCGGACATTTCACTGGTGCAAACTAAATAGAAGTGCTTATAAATTAACCAGAAAACATTTATATTAGGATCTAATGATGTGCAGTTGTTTCTGTGAGGGTTAGGGCTTGGGGGTCTGTGTGTGTACAGACTTTGTTACTTATGAGGGCTCAATTGTCCTCACCGTTATATATCGAGATATCAAAACCACTCACTAGTGGACATTTCACTGCTCCTCACTAAATAAAAGTGCTTATAAATCGATAACTTGTTGACATCTACTGATATGCAGCAGCTTCAGTGAGGGTTCGGGTTAGGGCTATGGGTAGGCCATAGATACCATCATTAACCTCATAGAAAAACAATGAAAGTCTTTGTAATGTCCACACTAAGACCCACTAGTGAACATTTCACTGCTCCTTACTAAATAAAAGTGCTTATAAATCGATAACTTATTAGCATCTAATGATGTGCATCTGTTTCTATGAGGGTTCAGGTTAGGGCTAAGGTTAGGCCAATATATAGTACCATTAACCTGACAGAAAAACAATGGAAGTCTATGTAAAGGTCCTTACTAAGATAGTAAAACAAAAATGTGTGTGTACAGATTTAGCTACTTATAATGAATATGTAATGATGTGCAGGAGTTTCTGTTAAGGTTCAGGTTAGGGCTAGGGGTAGGCCATAGACACTATCATTAACCTGACAGAAAACCAATGGAAGTCTATGTAATGTCCTCACTAACAAAGTAAAACAATCATTATATATTTTTATTTAATGTCACCTCAGCAACAACGACTATTTACATGGCAAAAACATATAATTTATGAATATATATTAATAAAAATATAATTAAAAACCCAAAAACAAATAAGACACTTTTATTTTAGCGCTAATATATGATGAAGTTCAAACTATTGTTCCTGCTGACTTGGTCAGGGTTATCAAACAAAGGGCTAATATAAATAGACAGATCATTTTCAATGTCGTACAGCAGATTAACATGAGAAAATGTGAATGTTTGAAAAATAAAATCTGATTAAAGCTGAACATTTAAAAATAAAGAACTATTCATTATATTTAGAAGTCATGCATGTTGATCATCAGGTTATACTGAGTGACTGAATATATCTGTGTTTTAGCGCACACACTCACGTATATGAGTCCGGAGTAGTATCTCTCCTTCAGGTTGTGCAGCACCGAGGCCTCGTTCAGGCAGGTCAGCTCCGCCATGTCCTCCACCTTGCTGAATTTGGGTGGGTTCATCTTCTGGATGTCGTCCTTGTTAACCCGGATCTTCTTCCCTGAGTCGGCCAGCTCCACCACCACCTCGTCCCCATGCTCCTCCTTAAGTGAGCCCGCCTCGAACCCCAGACGCTCTGAAGGCACCCACACCAGCTTCTTGGTGGCCCAGTCGGCCTGCGCCAGCGGGTTGTTGACCAGGTTGCGGTCCACATACAGGAACTTGTCCACGTCCGACATGGTTTCTGAAGGAGAGAGAGTGTTTATAGAGCATTAATACAGTATATACACACACTGAAGTGTGTGCTCTCATATAGTACAGAGTGTTTATTTGAAACTCTAGTCAGAGGAATAAACCAAACATAGGAGGAAGAGAGCATCACGTTTATTTTATTAAGAAACTTCCCTGATATTCTGTGCACGCTCTTCTAGACATAACATTTATGCTTTACAGAGGAAAAGATAACTAATAACTTTTACTAAGAAAGCCATTTTAAAAATTCAGTGAGCGTACAGTCAGTGCAGAACAAAATGTTCCAGATTTCCCTCTTTTTTCTATGGTTACTAACGATTAATTGTGTAATAGATCACAAACGTCACGGTTCAAACCATTAAGGATGCTCTAATGGCTTGTTTCCACTGACTGGTACAGTACGGTACAGTTTGGGTCGGTACGGGTCACCTTTATCAGGCTTGGGTTTCCACTACCAAGGGTACCCTTTTGGTGGGCGTAGTGTACGACCGAAAGTGCAAGTCGACGTCATGCTCGCTCGAATAAATGTCTACAGTAAGGCTGTACGGGTCGCTTACATATCATATGACGAGCCCTTCTCACAAAACAGACGCTTTACACACACAAATACTTGTTTATAAAAGTTACTAAGTTTTTATTACTAAGTTTTCGATCGACATGAGTAGATTATAACTGAAAATCAATGACAGCGCGAAATAGCCTACTGTAACGTCTGTAATTATTTAAAACAAATATATATATGCAACATATATGATCTCAGCTTAGAACATGGGGGTTCCTTTGTTTTCATTCTATCTAGCTCTACAAGCTTGTGACGTATCTCTGTAACCAATCAGTGTTCAGCTGACTGTGTAGCTCCGCCTTTTGGTATCCTTTCTTATGTTTGGTATCCTTTCGAACGGGTGCCGGAAAAGTGGTACGGTACGCTTTTTGACAGTGGAAACGGCCATAAAAGCATACCAAACCGAACTGTACTGTACCACTCAGTGGAAACGGGCCATAATAATCGCTTGGGTGAGTTTGATCGGCGGTGTCCATGAAGGCCGATCCAGAAGGGCCAATAAGATGATGCAAAACTTGCGAGATGTTTATTTTTTTTTACATGATGCTAGAACGGGGTGCAGTGTGAAACGTGCGCTCTGTGCTTATGCAACTGACTATGACTTGCCCCGGATGCTCACCGGTAGCGTGTGCCCTATGGATTAAAGCTGCACAATTAATCGTAAAAAGATGGCGATCTCGATTCGACCCCCTAGTCAATCTTAATCCAGCATTTCTACAATTCTGTCAATCCTATTTTGAAGTTCAGGAGAGAACCAATGGTGGCTGCACAAGTCTTTACATTGTTTTACATACGTTGTTCAGCAATGTGGACACCTCCAAATGGTGTTGAAAGAGACACATGCTGTATTTATAAGATATAATCCACCTCAAAAATGTCATTTCTGTCTTTATGTAATGTATTTACGACCGCAAAATCACACGTGACGTGAGCTGACCGTCAGCTGTTACCACAGAGAGGGCGGGTGCCGCGCGTGCGCCTCTGAATGAAGTCTACTTTAGTGAAAAGAACCTGCATATGCTGTGAATAACAGCTAATAAAGTTGTAAATACCATCAGTTTGTGGCACAGAGTGATCGTTTGGGAGCTGTGCGGGAAGTGAACCGCTCTTAGCAGTGAAAATGAAACCGAAAGCGCACACAGTGTTTCCAGATGTAGCTGACTGATTCCAGCCCAATAAGTATCCAAAACCCGCCGAAATGCAAAAATACCCTCCCAATCTTCTGTATTCACGAAAATCACATCAGTGACAGATGTTAAGCAGAAAATGACAGATTGTAAGCACATATCTCAAACACAATAACTCAACATGAGAATTATCATCAGCATTAATGACCAGGACACATCTAAAGTCTGTTCAAGTCCACCATTCCAACTCTATACAACATTGAGCATCTTAACCAACAGTGCAGCGACACAAAGCCTATTGCTGTTTACCACATGTTTGAGAATAACAATAATAATAGCCCACTCATATAAACCTTCATTTTACATCTACAGAATCAGGAGAAAATCCTGATCTTTATTTTAGGCAAAAAAAATAAAAAATAAAAATTTGCGATTCTCATTTTAGCCAGAATCGTGCAGCCCTACTATATATATTAGTGTAACATTTGATTTTTTTACTTGCCCTGTTTGCAGAACTCACACAACTGCTGCTGTTGCATTATCCCGTCCATAAACAGGAGTACTAAAAAGGTGGCGCCACGTCACACTGAAGACAGTGTATTTTTTAATTATAATTTGTACACGCTCCATAACGTCTGGCCATTCATATATCTCATCCGAAACGGTTGAAAACATGATGAGCGCCGCTTCTTTCACAAAGTTCAATTCACTTGCTGTTTTAGCATTTGTGGTTGCTAGGCGACCACTGCTAGGGCCAGAAACAGGTAGACTACCTTTACTAACAGTAATATTAAAAACAGCAACAACTTTTGCATTGGGCTTGGGCGGTAATACGGTAATATGGTATACCGCGCGATCTAAAAATAGCAACGCTGTCAGTTTCAATACTGTTATACCATCATAAAAAAACAATGCAAATAAATACGAGTCAAGTATTAAACAATAAATATTTTTTTAATGCCTACAATTGTGTATGCGTGATTGTCATCACAGGACAGTGTGAAGGAGAGAGAGAGAGAGAGAGAGGGAGAGGGTGAAGTGACGAGTTGAGCACCAAGTGACCTGCAGTTTATCAGTATTTCCAGTTTTGACTGAACGAGAAGGGAGACGTGGTAAATACGAACTAGAGGTCTGCATTTTCTCTTTGTGTGTGTGTGTGTGTGTGTGTGTGTGTGTGTGTGTGTGTGTGTGTGCATGCATGAGTGTGTGTGAATGAGAGAGAGCATCCTGCGCAGATCTCTAATACGAACAAGACAAACAGGTGACCACGAACCTAAGGTCGCATATACGTTATTCAGTTTCTGAGTGGTTTAGGCACAAGCCAACAGTTAGGTGATGCTGTCTGAGCCTTAAGTCATCTTTTTTTTTTATGCACGGTAATACCGGATACCGGGGTAAAAAAAGGGAGGAGGTTTGGCGATATTAAAATTTGGATACCGCCCAAGCATATTTTGCATTGTTTCTCTGTTTTGTATTTTTTTCTAAAGGGGTGCAGATGTAACCAAACCTAATGTTTTTGATGAATACATGTTCAATTATTATGATTTTTTTCTTATTAATAAAAAATATATAAAAGATATTTCTCTGATGCACTAAAGCCCCAGGACTGCGGACTGATTTCCTATATTAGAGAGTTTATTACAGACATATATATACATTTAAATATATTTTAAACAGTATTTTAGCTATAGCCTTTGTTGTAGTAAGTTTTCTAGAGCTACATTTGTTTTGTTTTGTTGGAAAGTTGTAATTGTTATGCTCTAAATCAGAGCTGCCCAAATGTTTTGTTATTAACCAGTTAAACTCTGCTGCTATTTTGGGATTTCCACCTGGATTTTGCCCACCCAAATTTAAAAGCTTCCCAAATCCACATGCAGAGGTGTAAAAGCAAAACATTTGGTATCATTTTAAAGAAAACCCTTTCATAAAATATATTGAAAGTGTTTAAAATATCTGTATATGTTGTCTGTGTTATAATAAACACCTAAAAAAAGAGGCACTTTTTATCTTTTTGTTTTATAAACTCAAATGTGAAAGTGTACCTTTTAGGTTCTGTGTGGTCTAGCGTGCTGTAATTAATTTTGCTGGTTCCTGTACATGTCTGTAATTATAGGAAAACAGAAAAATGTCTCCACCATAATCTGTGCAAAAGTTATTGTATTCCAACTGACGAGAGGTGCTGTACAAGCCACAGGGAGCGATCATTGTTTTCATATTTCACTATTCTTTTGTTTGATCAAACATAATTCACTGTGTTTGGAGCACGTCAGACATATAAAAGGATTAATCATGCACATCAGCTCAAAAACAGAGGAGAATGGCCCTGAAGCGCACAGCATAAGGTAAGAGATGACAGCGGTCTGTGCTATCTGGGGCTGCTTATTGATCATGAATGTTTTGTTTTCACTTCTGCGCCATGGAAACACCGCGATTCATTTGAAAACTGTTTGATATGTGAATATAATTCAGTAATAAGAATACTAGAACAGTATGAGCACCGGCAAGAGCTTTCATTTGAGCTATAACTTGTACATGTGTCATATGATAAATATGAAAATGAACCAATGTTCAATACCCAGCTCGGGTATCCAAAATATTTTGTATTTAAGAGTAAATAACTTTTGTACAGTAGAATAAAAACCAAAGTGATGCATATGAGCATAAAATATAGATTCTACACTTTCAAACAAAACCCCTTAAGGGGTCTGGTGCAAAGCTAGCCCTATAAATCTCAAAGAGAAAGTCGATGACGTCACGGTACCGGGTCCGCGGAGTTTAACTGGTTAATTACGACATTAGTGTGTTATAAGTTATTAGTATGCTGTTTTTCTAGTAAATGCAAGGGTCAATTATGATGCCAGCATTATACGCTGTTGTTATGTTGTTCTCATTTTTCTTTTTCTCAGAAAACACAAGGGTTATTTACAATTCCAGCATAATAACTTGCTGCTATATAATATTATTATAGACAACATCACCAGCATGTTTAAAGACGTTGCTATGTTGTTCTTGTTTTGTTTATTGCCTTTTTTAGAAAGTGGATTGGTTGATTACAATACCAGCATGTTTTAGGTTGCTACAAAATCTCTTTCATGAAAAGCCTGGTCACTTGGCGGCCATATTTGCAATCCTATCTAAGAACAAAGTCATGGGGGAATCCTAAAATCTCGAAAATTGCTGAACTCACAATAATATATATA